TATAGAATTCTTTAGGTTCCATTTGTCAGTTACCCTATAGCTAGCTGATCATACCAACATTAAATACTTTATTTATAGAATTCTTTGGGTTCCATTTGTCAGTTAGCCTATAGCTAGCTGATCATGCCAGGGTATCCAAAATTTTCAATCTTCAAGTATTAATAAGTTAAAGTCAAACTGATCAGACTAAACTTACCCGCTGGAGCAAAATCAAACAGAATATTTCTAATAGGAATTTTAATAGTAACCAATTACTTTAAATTTAAACTTTACAACCAGGACGCTGAGAAACTGGTTATAGGTCAATAATAGCTGTGTATTCCTTTGTGAATATCAGGCAAATAACCCGAAAAATATTACTTTTTTGTCAATAAGGGCTAATCTGCAGAGAAATGAGAAAACAGAGACATCCCTAACATATTGACTTGATGCAATTAATAATGAACTGCTAAGAACAAACGTGAAAAAGATTTGATAACTTGGAATTAATGCCAAAGAAAAATTGGTAAGATATTAAAAATATCCTACATATATGGTACAAAACTGTATGTCTTAATCCAACATTACTCAATTATATATCAGGTTGTTTGCCTACTTAACTGAAGTTAAAGAACTCATTATAGCCAAAGCCGAATCAGGTAAATTCAGGTAATATCGAAAGCAATTAACATTTCACGTAAAAGTCACTAAGGATTAAGGTTTGGAATTGTTCAAGAAATAATGTTTTATTTTGCAAAAACTTCGACAATCTTTGAGCTTCCCTTCGTTCTGGGATCTGTTCACAAATGTACACGAAATTTAAATAATTTAGTAAAAAAAATACTCCACTGACTAACAAAACTATGTAAGCACTAGTAGTACATGGTAAATATGTTATGCCTTTTCTTGGCTTTACGGTTCTAGTGAAAGTTAACTGCAATTATTAGGGCCCCAATTAATATTCAGTTGGACTATGTATATGCCTGACCTATGCATATATCATCCCAATTAATTTTCAATTGAACCATTTATATGCCTGGACTCGGCATATAGCATCCCAATTAATATTCAGTTGGACCATGTATATGCCTGAGCTATGCATATATCATCCCAATTAATTTTCAATTGAACCATCTATATGCCTTCACTCGGCATATAGCATCCCAATTAATATTCTGATGGACCATCTATACTATATGTCTGGGCTATGCATATATCATCCCAATTAATTTTCAATTGAACCATCTATATGCCTTCACTATATGCCACACCTGAATGGTACTTTGTTCGACTATTGCCTATTCGTTGAGAAGTGTGACTTGCAAGTGTTTCACAATATGTGGCGACGTTCGAATTTATTCAGAAGATATTCAAACAGACTGAAATCTAAAAATTGTGCTAGCCAAGAAAGATGGTTGAAACCACTACTATGCCCTTTAAGTCAAGTCCGGACAACATGAGAGTGGAGAAGTTTTGTATAATTATATTGGAACAGTCCTTGTTAATTATGGTGGAAGTCAGCATTGGTGGAAGGATATGAGTAGCAACAGTGTTTAGGCGTACTGGAATATTTGTCACAAATGTCACAACGTATTCCCACTCAATCTTATAATTTTACATGACATCATGTAATATACAGCAAAGAACGTGTAGTTTTTCAAAAACCGGGTTTCGTTAGCCCTAGTGGGCAGAGCATAGATAACCCATTGTGTTACATTTCGCTAAACAACAAACAAACAAGTAAACAAAACTTTTCACTCGCTTAAAACAATAATACAATTCAATACTCAAACAGTTTCTTGTAAACCAATTATCAATTATTATCCTT